ACAGACTGGGGCAGGGAAGACATACAGTATGGAGGTCTGCCGATGAATGCCTAAATGTAGCCCTGTTAAATCTTATAAATTAAATTGTATTTGTTGATGATGATATATACCTCCTTATTGGATCAGGGGCCAAACATATTGGAATCTGATGAAAAGAAGAAAGGGATACTTCCAAGAGTGGTGGATGGATTGTTTGCATGTATCAAAACTTCTGCTGACTCAACCAAGTACACCATCAAGTTGTCAATGGTATGGAAACATATCATATATGCTTAGAGAACTATATTACTAGCAATTTTACAATTAAATGCTGTATAATTCATGAAATATTGTCTATAGGTGGAGATCTATATGGAAAAAGTTCGGTATGTATCACCTTAAATTCTATTTGTTGTTGGATCGAGAGCTTTCATTCTCCAGTAAATATTTCTGATTGCCCTTTCTGTTCAAAAGCTCAGGCTGATGAAATACTACACGAGGCGCTTTTCTAGCTTTTTTAATATTTATGTTAAACGCATATGCATTTCTTATCCTCAGGGACCTTTTTGATTTATCAAAGGACAATATCCAAATTAAGGAGAGCAAAACACAAGGAATATTGTTATCTGGAGCGACAGAGGTGAGCTACTTCTTGCAGAAATTACTTTTTCCTTTAGCCTTGGACCCTTGGCATTATATTAGAGTAGCATTTTCTATCTTTATGCTCGACATCAGTCGGGTTATTTTCTGATAGGCTTTACTCTTTCTAGTTGAGATTATTTTGAACCTGTTTATGAATATGTTACTTCAGACTCTCAATTTCGTCGGGAAATGTGCCATAGACTTCTATTGATTTTCCTTTTCTCCATCGAGCATACACATTGCTTTTAGTAGAAACTAGAAACCCTTTCTATGTATACATACAAATGTCATACATAATGCATTGATTCTTCAAGCTCTCCATTTAATTCTGTTTGCAGTAATCATGTTTTGGCCTGGTGGCATGAGTACTGTTGTTTTGAACAACCTCAATCTTGTGTAAAACTTAGATGAATTAAGTGCCAAATTTCCTTACCCCTAAGGCCTAAAGCAAATCACAGATGTATAGCATTATGTACATTGAACCTATACTTTGTCTCACTTAGTATTGTTATATGCCTCTTTCCTTACTAAATCCTCTATTTATTCCTTGATTTTGTTCCCAGATCTCTCTTTTGAACCCAGCCGAAGCATTGCAAAGCCTATCTGTAAGATTAAGACTAGTTATAACTTTATCTTCCTCTTTGTTCATCGGATATGGTTTCTAATATCGGCCTTGAAATTTAGAGTGGGATAGCTAACAGAGCTATTGGAGAGACCCGTATCCTTCCGTGTTTTGTGCTTTTATGTTTTCCGTTGATTTCTTAATCAGAGAAATATAAAAATTGAGTGAAAGAATTGAGTCTTCGTTTTTACTTTGTAAAAGTTCTGTTTAGAATTTGTTTGTTACTTGAACATAAACAGAAATGAACATGGCAAGCAGCCGGAGCCATTGCGTTTACATGTTCACACTGGACCAACAGTCACTTTCAGAAAGGAGGTATAGCTTATCCCTTGACTATGTTCAAGTCTTCAAATGTTACTATCTATAAATTTCACAATGTGATCAGGGTGAAATCTGGGAAGTTAGTTCTCGTGGACCTGGCGGGGTCAGAGAAAGTTGAGAAAACTGGGGCTGGAGGAAGAGTTCTCGAAGAAGCTAAAACAATCAATAAATCCCTTTCGGCATTAGGGAATGTAATCAATGCTCTGACATGTGGTACACCAGCCAAAGCAAACCATATTCCTTATCGTGATTCCAAGCTCACTCGACTCCTGCAAGATGCTCTTGTAAGTTCTCTAACCCCTAATTTCATCTCTATGTAATGTCATCAAATCAGTTCCATGAAGTGTTGGTTTTCAATTTCATATTAAATTTGCAGGGTGGGAACTCCCGCTCTGCATTGCTTTGTTGTTGCTCACCAAGTCCTTCAAACGCATCAGAAAGCCTGTCCACTCTTCGTTTTGGTGCAAGGTTCATGAACATATAATATGCTATTATACATATTTAAACCCACTAGAACAAAGGAAGTTTAAGCACCAAGGAAGGCCTAATATTCTCCTTTTAGATATCTTAATTTATCCTTCTAGAAAAGAACATTTTTAATAACAAAAGCAAAAGGTTCGACCTCTCGTTTTGTATGATCAAACTAAATATCTAATACTTGATTTTTTTTGGGGGGGTTTAATTTTCATGGCAGGGCAAGGCATATTAAGGCATCCCCACTTGTCAAGGTTAACGAAGAGAAGGGTTCTGATAAGAAGAATGGAGCTCTTTCTGGTACCAGAGACGAGACATTTGAGAAAATTCTAGAGAAAGTTAGTTTTATGATCCGATATTATGTAGGTGAAACATTCTTGTCACTTTCTAATATGGTTTGTTCTTGTTTAGATGAGTGAGAGACTTGATGCTGAAGATATAAAGTTACTCGAGGAATTATTCATCCAGGCAGGACTATTTGCCGATCTCGATTCAACAGAAGACTTGGAATCAAACATTCAAGATGTTGTTGAACAAACCATTTCTTCATTGATGAAAGCTGTGGAGGAGCTCAGCTCTACTGTTCAGACGGTAATGATTTTCATTATCCATTATTGTCTTCCACTAGAGAAACAAGGGAAAGAACAAAGAGAGGTAGAAGTCAAATATGCTCTGTATATTTGTATGCCCACTTTTGCTCAAAAAATATAATAATCACATTTTTTTCTTGAAAATTTGTTTCAGTTTTTCTATAGTTCTTGCTCACTTAATATCACCAAAGTTATTTTCTAGACATATAGGACCTTCAAATCATGACATTTGAAATTGGTTTCCATGCAATTGCTGAGCTTACCATCTTTTTACAGCTTCAGAGAGAGAACAAGGCCCTGAAGGATAGGCTTGGTGCTGCCGACAGATTCGATACTTTTCCGGGGGGAACTGCTGGTTTCCTTCACAAGATTTTGGGTTTTCTCAGCTCCTTTATTCCTGGAATGCAGAGATGAAACTTTGTTCCACTCCATGATTACTGTCACTCTAGCTCTGTTGTTGCACTTATTCTACATTATAACTGTTGTCTACTGGTCTCAACAGATTTGAAGGAGATATCAATGAGAGAAGAAACGGGGGACAAAAAGCATGAAGCGTGTAAGAATCAAAATCCCAAACACAAAATAAGGAAACAAAAATTAAAGACTAAAAAGTAACCCAAAATGACAATCAAAGAACGGGATAGAAAAACTAAGTAAGATTAGGGGTGATCGTTCAATCTAATCGAGCAAAAAATTTCGAGTTCATGAGTCATAAATATTTACAACTCGAACTTGATTTGATTTTTTTTTGAGTCAAGTAGAGTTATTCGAGTTTATGTTTAAATTTACTTGTACATATTTCTAATATTATGATACTATTTGATTCCAATTTAAAAGGTTTTCTATAACTATATACAATACATATATATATATATATTTTATAACTCGACTCAAACTTGAAAATCAATATACAAATCACTAAATATTTCGAGTTATTAAAGTTCTATTTTATAACTTAACTTGATATTGTATATATTTTATAGCTCTACTCAAGCTTGAAAATCAATCCACAAATCACTAAAAATTTCGAGTTATTCAAGTTCTATTTTGTAAGTCAACTTGAATATGAAATTTTTTAGTCGAGTTCATGAAATTATAACTTTAAGTCAATTCGAGTCGAATCAAAAAGTTTGATTTTTTGAGTCGAGTCAAATTTTACTTATCCTAGTTAAGATGAAACACAACACTTCATAGGCATAAGTGAGAAGGGGGAAAAGGCTTGATGAAAAAAATAAGTGTCGTATTAAATAAAAAGTCATTCATGCTAATGAATAAGCTTAAATCATCGTGTAGAATAAGTGCAATGTCAAAGCTAGAGAGTAACACTAATCATGCATGTAATTTGGAACTTCGTACTTCGAATCCAATACATTGCAAATGGTTAATGAACAGAAAGAAAACGAAAAATGCATAAAAATAAAAGGTCATGCATATGAACTTATGCGTTTGGTTCACGGAATATAAGATTACCAATCGGAATAAAAGATTATCAGGGAATAGGATTACTGAGAATGTTGTATTTTGTGTTTGGTTGGCTTAGCAAGAATGTAAGATTACCGTGTTTGGTTAAAGGAATAAAAGATTATTGGAATATATATTTGACCAAATTGTTCTTATTATATATTTGTTTTTTTAATAACTTAGAAAATATTTATATATTTTCTTTAAAAAATTTAAATTCATAAAATTTATATAATTTTTTTACAAAATTGAAAATATAAAAAGGTTTAATGAAATGGTAAACTTTTATTTTAACCCTTTAACTTTATATAAAATTTTAATTATAGATTTTTTTTGTAAATTTAAAATAGTTTAAGGATAAATTTATAATTTAACACTCGTAGATTTTTTATTATTCAATGACAGAATAAATATATTTTTGAAAAAAAAAATTTAAGGGCATTTTAGTTCAAAATGCCGGTAATCCAACAATACCTAAGGAAAGGAAGGAAATGACATTCCCGGTAATATACCCAAAAAAATTCACTATTAGAAATGTAAGATTATTGGGAATGACATTCCTGGCCAACCAAACGGGAGAATGTGAATTTCATTCCCATGAGAATCTCACATTCCCCAACCAAACACACTCTTAATGTTTTAATCTGTTATTCTGGTTATATGTTCAGTTATCAAATATGTTCTCAAAATAAATAAAAACTTAATAATATTATTAATTCATTCATTAATGAAAAGTATGACAGGTCTCAAAATATAGTTCTCGTGTTGTCGACTTCCTTTCTCCGATTTTAAGCTTTAAGCATTCTGATTATGGCGATTATAGAACTCGGTCACATGTTATCATCGAGCTTTTTCTAAACACGAACCGAAAATCTGTACTACTGCTTGGATTGCAAGTTTCTCATCAACCATATTTAACATGCGTAGGTGTATAACTACACGTTATACATGTTTATTCATGTAAGGGAAGGGAGTGGAAAGACAAATCTTATTAATACAGATTAGCTTTTATTTCTTGGAGACATAGGCATAGTATTGTGCCATGGGAACAACAAAAGCAATCACCAACAAACCTCCAACTACGAGACTGAACTGCCCTCGTTTCTCTTCGGTCTCTTCCCTGGACTTAAAATTCGACTCCCGCTTGTTGTCCTTAAACGTGGGGCCACCGGGATCTGGAAGTCCATCTATAGCAGCAACAAGCCTTTTGGCACTGCTGTAAACTGCTTCATTGTACTTCTCTTCCGTAGCCAAAACTGCAATTGCAAAGAACATGACTATATGATTAAAGTTGCAGAAATCGAAATGAAAGGAAAAGAAGGATTATTTGTGCAGGTGAAACTTCAGTTTTCACAGTAAGCTATACTATCGATGGAAAAGGCCAATATGGCAATATGGTTCGAGACTTAGAGCAATCATATAAGTTCATTAAGTTGAAATGAAAACCAATTTTCGATCTTCGTATTGGCATCTAGAACTCGAAAGATGCTGTCCTTGGGTAAGACAGAAAGGCCTAAAGTGTGTTTTGAAACAATGGAACCTAATGGGAGCACTTGCCAGTGACGAGTGGTAATTAGAATTGCACAACTAAGCACCAACAACTCGTATGCAGGAGCTATAGAAGACGACTAACAGCTTATTCGGATGGTTTGCTCGTGTTGATCACATAGCTTATCAGTTGTTTTAGTTTTATGAATCATCATAAAGGTGAGGAAAATGATTCCAACAAGTTCGACCAGCATGATAAAGTAATTCTACAGGGTTGGACCAGAAGATTTTCAAGTTTCAACTTCAGAAATATGTACCAGGAAGGTTCTCAGTTACGGTAGCGTCGAGAATATTTTCTCCGACAGCTTCGATGAATGAAGGTCCACCGGTGACCGCCCCTTCTTTTTGGCTCGTCACAAGCACAACGATCCCTTTATTGCTACCCTCTTCAACTGTAGGATACCATTTCTCCAGAACTTGGTCAGCATACTCAAAAGCATCAGCTTTGCTCTGCAATCAAAATATTATCAATATTCAGTTTTAATCTATCCCTTCAATTCTTCTCCAATCAATAATAATTCTCAAACTTTGAATCTGTTCCAAAAGCTAAAGTAATCTTATGTTTTTAATGTTTACCAAGAAACTCAAAGCAAAAGAAAAGGAATTCATGGTTAAAATTTAAGTTTGATTTTCCAAGTGACCAAACAGACAGTAAATGACTAAAGCCTGTACCATGTCTTCCCACTGCAAATCATAAAATTCTGCAAATTCATGAAATCAAGATCTTACAGTGAGCTTTCTAACAGTAACAAAATTAATGTGAAAATTCTTCCTCGACTCCAAATCAGACAAAAGCCGCTTCAAATCAGATTTCGTCACCCGACTAAGCACATTAGCATCATCCACAACATAAGATTCCTTTGGTGGCCCCTCGTTTATCACATCAAACTCCGACGCCATTGCATTGCCAGTGAGCAGAACGGGAGAAAAATTGAGTGCCAATGAAATAGCTAGAGCTGCAAGTCCCTGCTGTGCATGAACAAACCAATCTCTGGGTTCTGCCAAACATGGTTTTACTGACTGGAAAGTGTGTTTCTTGAGGGTACAAGCAATGGGTTTTGAGAGAAAAAGAGAGGTTGATCTTGGTTGATGTGAAGGTAACAAAAGGTTCTTGGAAATGGATGGTTTGGGATTCAAGATTGGATGAATGGAGTGAGAAGAAAGAATTGTTTCCATTGTTAAACTGCTCACCAGCTAGAGGACAGCAGAAAAATGAAGAAAGGAGAGATTTTTTTTCATTACAGTTCCAAATTGATTCTGGTTCAGTTTAGTTTAGAGTGTTTGTGTGGTTTGGATTTTGTCTGGTTTTGGATTTGGTTGGCCACATGTTTTTTTTTTCTTCTTTCTCCTGAGGATAATGTCTCTCATCCATATAGAGATAAACAAAGGGTATCTTTGTAACTTCATGTTAGGGTTAAATTTTTCTCAATTATAAGTACAGTGAATAATATTATTTTGGGTAAATTCTATAAATGAGCACTAATATTTGAGTATTTTTTTAATGATGTTTCAAAAATTATAATTTTGATCACTAATGTTATCAATTTATAACAAATCAATCATAAATTGTCACTGAGATAATAAAAAGCCTATGTGGTGCATTAAATTGACTAATATGACATTGTTTGGTCACACAAAACAATTATTTTGATCGACCGTTTGACTCTTCTCCTGTTGAAAGTCAATTTGTCATCGATCGTGTTTCTATTTCTTTCTATCTCTTTTGTAAAATGATTTGTGGCAACAAACTGACTTTCAACAAGAGAAGAGTCAAATGATCGATCAAAATAATTATTTTGTGTGGTCAAACAATGCTATGTCAATTGATTTACACAACAACATTTCATTATCCCAATAACGATAATTAACGGCTAATGAGCGATTTGTCATAAATATATAATGTTAATAGTTAAATCGTTACTTTTAATATAGCAGTGGAAAAAAGAGAAATTTACTCAAATATAAGTGATCATTTATGTAGTTTACCCTATTATTTTTCCCCTAAATAATAATACTTTTTAATCACTAGAAAATGACTATAATACCCGCTGTAAGCATTAAAGTAGTAAATGTCGCATTATCTAGTTTTCTCTATTAACGACCATGAACTCCATCTTCCTTCTGCCATGGCCTTTCTTCTCTCCTTGTCCCCAAACCCTCCTCAAAACCCTAAATTTTCCTCTCTAAACCCCTCATTTCCCACCACTCCCATTAAAACCCTCAATACCAAGAGACACTTCATCATCAACACTGCTTCATTTTGCATCCTTTTTTTGGCCCCACAAAGCCCAATCCCACATTCTTTAGCTGAAGCTTCTGCACCTCCGAAACCGGCTTTGAACATTGCAAACACCAAGTCTTGGTTCCAGTTCTACGGTGATGGTTTTGCCGTTAGGGTTCCTCCTGAATTTGAGGACATCATGGAGCCCGAGGTACATTTTTTGCCCCCTTGCAATTGGTTTTGCCATTAGTTTTTATGCATCGCAGGGATTTAAATTGCGGTTACGGTCGTCTTTTCGATTTGTGTTGCATTTATCGTGTTTGCCAAAAAAACATATACTATTGTGATCATTGCAGGTGTCGCTGTTGTGCAATAACGGTCTTGGATGACATCTATATAGTTATACAAGGGTCGCTATCCTAATAACGGACTGTTATTTAAATCCCTGATGCATTCTGGCCAAATCCACTGCTTTGTTTTATGTGATTATATTGCAAGAAAAAGATATTATTTTATACTCATGGACTGAAAGTGTTTGTGGTTTCTGGAAATTAATGGTAATACTGAATTATGATGAATAAAGATGTAGGAGTTTTGTTGATAAACTGGATGAATTGTTCCATGTTTTTAGGATTTTAATGCCGGAGCGACTCTTTACGGGGACAAAGCGAAGCCTCGGACTTTCGTAGCACGATTTGCATCTACTGATGGGTATGAACTACGAAGTACTTTTGTACAAACTTCCCTTGTCTTGTCTTGCCTTTGATTCCTATGTTCATTTATGTTTTCTCTATGATCATATAGGTAGAGGCTTATGCTTCCTAAGATTAACTTCTGAATGAAGGATTTGATATCTGTCGTATTTCCGTATGTGCAGATCCGAAGTTTTAAGTGTTGTCGTTCGCCCGACTAATCAACTCAAAATCACCTTCCTAGAGGTTTGTGTCTACGAGGTTTACTATCTGAGCAAGCTTAGCACCAAGGGCATGTATGAGATGTTGTAATGTTCGGATTTCTAACATTGTTGGCCTATGATTAATGCATACCTAGAACTTTATGTGATCTCTTCTCATGAGCAGGCCCAAGAAATTACTGATTTAGGTTCCATTAAAGAGGCAGCTAAAATCTTTGTCCCAGGTTGATTTAGGTTCCTTAACAAATGATAATGCCATCTTTCTTCTTGATTTCTGTCATCTTTACTATCGGTCTACTTGATCATGCAATGGCAGGTGGAGCCACTCTCTACGATGCCCGAACGATTAAGATAAAGGAAGATGAAGGTTTCAAGTAAGCTATTTCGATCATCCTGGTGACTATAAACAGCTATCGGTTATTGATTCAACTATTTAAAAAGATACCACACAGATCCTTTTTTCAGTGAGCGAAAGTAATTGAGGCAATAACAGTAGATTAACTTGAGCAAAACCGAATCAGTGAATCCTCTTCTTTCCTGCAAGCTATTTTGGCATCATCTACTGTTAATTGTACCGTTTCTCGGAGTTTTACATTCAACAAAATGAAAAGAAAAGAGATACGTCTTCGGGAAATATGCACCTTAGATGACAGATAAGCATCATGCATGTTGCACTACAGAGTTGCAATAATAAAGAAGAAGAGTTATTTAAAGAATGTGCTTTTGATATTTGCTTCTGAGTCTAATATTTGCTGCTGAAATGCTTGATTCATGTCAGGACTTACTATTTCTATGAATTCGAAAGAGATGATCAACACATTGCACTAATGGCTACCGTTAGCGGCGGAAAGGTGTGTTAATCGCCACTCTTTTTTTATAGTGTGATTGTTCTTCATTTCAGGGCTAAATTCTTTATTAGAGGTCCTGATGCAAAAGAAAATCTTATATATTCATCGTTCTCATTTGTATATTGGACCGATCAACACTTGGTGCAGGCTATTATTTCCGGAGCGAGTGCTCTGAGTTCCAAATGGGACGACAACGGAGTAAAGTTGCGTTCTGCAGCAATCTCGTTGACAGCTTTGTAGTCCTTTGTTGATTGGTTTAGAGATTTGTCTCTGGTCACTTATCTCGACATCTACGAAGAATTTTCGATCAGAAGGCCGATTCATAGCAGCTTCCCTTCTCAAAACAGCTTGTGAACTGCAGAAAGCTTAGAATTTTGAATTCAAGTCTTGATTTTGAGTGCCATTTTATATGCTGATTTTGTCAACAATACTTTCTTTATTTCATTTCTTACAGGACTGGTTATGTCTGATACTTGGACTTTTTGGTATAATCACCTCTAAATCGGATACTACAGAGGCGAGGACGATCCTCTGAACCTAGTTTGCTTCATTTATAAACGTCAGGATTCGAATCCCTCACCGTGCTTAAGGGATTTAATGTCTCATCTTACTAGGACAACGAGTTGTTGGTTGTTAGTACTTGGAATTTAATTCAATCTATTGTCCTTTTATATTAAATTTTTACAATTTTGTATTGGTGGCTTGAATCAAAATTCAGATATCAATTTGAGAACAAATAATTCTTTTAGTACTAATTCGAGCGAAAATGTTTAGCTCGGATACCAATTTGAAAAAAGTGTCTAGGTTTAGCTCGGATACCAATTTGAAATAAAGTGTCTAGGTTTGTCTCATCTTACTAGGACAACGAGTTGTTGGTTGTTAGTACTTGGAATTTAATTCAACTATTGTCCTTTTATATTAAATTTTTACAATTTTGTATTGGTGGCTTGAATCAAAATTCAGATATCAATTTGAGAACAAATAATTCTTTTAGTACTAATTCGAGCGAAAATGTTTAGCTCGGATACCAATTTGAAATAAAGTGTCTAGGTTGGGTACTAAATATATATTTAAGCCTAAAATCAATGACAAATTCTTCTATTAGTCCATGTATTATGTTATGGATTTAATCTTTATAGAGTAATTTAATCAATTTTAGTTTATATACTTTTCAAATTTTTAGAATTTTGATTATGACAAAAACAATAATAGTAAAAATCTAAGTTCATGATTTATAAAAGGAATTGTTTGTCTTTTCTTTTACTTTTCATGGAAAGTATTACCTATGAAAATCTCATTTTGCCATAGTCAAGATTAGGGATGGGCATGAGATTCAAATCCGACGGATTTTTAAAAAAAATTAGGTTTTGGTGATGTTCGGGTTGGTTAGATTCGGATTTAGAGTGAAAAATACCCGACCTGACTCAAAAAAATAATTTTACCTTATATATTTAAGAATAATTACAATAATATTCCTCTATATATTATTATTTTTTTAATTAAATCATTATTTTTATTGAATAAAAATAATATTTTTTTTATTATTTCGGGTCGGATATAATTAGATTCGGGTCGGATAAAAGATGTAAAATTTTCAGGTAGGGTCGGGTTGGCCCAAACCCGACCCATGCCCATCCTTAGTCAAGATAGCATTTTATTTTGTAGATACACACAAAAGACGAGAAAATGAATTTTGTATGTAATTTTAACATAGCTTCTCGCATTTTCTATCTCCTATATCATAGATAAAAGGCGAAATAAATCTATTCTTATTTCATTTATGAGTAATTCTAACATTTAGGTTACACTATCATATACAGGGATGGGTATGGATTAAGTTGGATTGGGTTTTTAGTTAATTTGATCTAACCCAAAAAATTTAACCTCTCCACCCGAAACCCTACCCGAGGTTAAGGTGACTTCACCCAACCTTTTTTTAGATAAAATTTCGACTCCGACCCGACCCAAAATAAATATATTTATAAAAATATTAATTTCATTTGATAAAATAGAGATCTAATTGTAAAAAAATATATAAAGATTGATATTATTACAATTATCCCTAAATATGTACGTATAATCATATTATTTTTCGAGTCGGGTCGAGTTAGAAACCGTCGAATTCGGATCCCGTGCCCATCCCTAATCATATATGTATAGATTAAAAATTAATAATTAAAAATTAGTATGGTATAAATAAAATTATATCAATAATAAATTTAATTAATATTTTAAATTAATTATCACTTAATTAATATTATTGTTGTATATAAATTACAACTTAATACTATAACAAGTATTAGATATAAGAAAAATCATAAAGTAAAAAACGTGAAAATTATTAATATTAATAAGTTAGATTCATCTTAAAGAGAATGTATGGAGTATTAGAGATTTAGAGTAATGATATTTTTAAGAGAAAGTATAAATTCATATTAGGATAATATTGACATCGAATAGAGATAAAGATAGAAGATTATTAAAATGTGACGAGATAATTATAATATTACGTTATCTTAATTTATTTTTTATTGTAATTTTAAAATACTTTTAATATTAAAATTTAGTGTTACGTCAGCAACATGTATTGATTGTTAGTCCTCTAATAATTTTTATTCAACATTTTGATCAAAAATTAAATTATTGGGGATAAAATGTTCTAAAAAAGAATAGGTGGTAAAATGATTATTTATGCAAACGTTAGAGGGGTAATTTTGTCATTATGAGTGTTACTTGTTTGCTACCTAATAATTTCTATACAAAATGTTAGAGTCAAAATATTCGACATGCTCCCCCTAACTCAAGATTAGCGTCCACTTTGGTTGAGCTGGCAAATGGATCATTCTGATCAGGTTCGAGTCGAATCATTTTAGGTTAAATTTTTTTGAATTTAAATTTGATTCGGGTCAAATTTGGATTCCGATCAAAATTAACATGTATACACTTTTGTCTTTTAAAACTTTTGTTTTTAGTAAAAAAATCATTTTTTTTTTGTTATTTCTTTGAATAAAGTGCAAAATTTCAACTTCTGGCGTGGATTTATTAACACCGTCAGAAAAAAAATGATAGAATTTCTTAAAAGCAAGTTTAAGAATTATGCTAATAATGCTGAAAGATAAATGACATAAAAGTTTCCACTTCCATAATTTTGTAGTGTTTATTCGATCCTACGTGGCAGGATTTCATTGGTCATGTGGTAGGTAAATAGGAGAACACGGTGATAGTAAATAGACCCCCGCCAATGGTACCTACCAGTCTTCCCTCCAACAACAGCTTCAAAATTGTACTGAAAATCCTCAACCAGTCTTGTTGAAACATTAGTTTCATCAAGAACCCTTTTTCTCAATCTCTCCAAAGAAAACAATATATATATATATATATATATATGCATGTGTATGGGTGTATGTATATATTGTGAAAGAAAGTTTCATCAGTAACACTTCATATATGTCCACCATTGCAGCTATGTCACATACACTCCAAAGTTCAACAGATTTTCTTAGTACCAGCACCATCATCGCACTTACCATCTTCTTTTCGCTTCTCTGTGCTTGTATCGTCGTAGGCCACCTACTCGAAGAGAACCGGTGGGCCAACGAGTCAATTACGGCGCTTCTTTTGGTATCTGAACTTGGAAATTTTGTTCTTTAACTTGTTTTGGCGTAAGAATTCTGGGTTTGAATTGATTTTTGTGTGGTTTGTATGTAGGGGTTAGGTGCTGGAGCTGTGGTGTTGTTTGTGAGTAAAGGCAATAGTTCAAGGATTCTAGTGTTCAGTGAGGACTTGTTCTTCCTTTATTTGCTTCCTCCCATAATTTTCAATGCCGGGTATGGTTTTCTCTGATGATTCTCAGGTGATACAACGATTCCGGTTCATCGTTTTATGCTGTTTTTCTATTCTCCGGCACTCACGCTTTCAGTTTCGTGATGCAGCTGTTGGTGCCATATTGTCAGCAACGGACACTGTGTGTACATTGCAGGTATATTTGATAACATTTCACCTTTCTTTTTGGGTCTAAATACTAGTTTGTTATGGCACTAATATGCATGAACCGTTTCTTGTGTTGAGAAGGTTCTCAATCAAGATGAAACACCATTTCTTTACAGTGTTATATTTGGGGAAGGAGTAGTGAATGATGCCACTTCGATCGTGCTTTTCAATGCGGTTCAATCAATCGATATGGACAATATCGATGCCTTGATGTCCTTGAAACTGTTGGGGACTTTCCTTTACCTCTTCTTCTCCAGTACCTTCCTTGGTATAGCAGTAAGTCATCACATTTTACTGAGATTTTCCAATGAATATGCTTTCAATCTCTTTCAATCTTTTCCAGGCAGGTCTTTTGAGTGCTTTTATCATAAAAACACTGTACTTTGGAAGGTATAGATACCCTGTTTCAGCCATTTTTTGAGCATTTGCTACTGATATTTCTTCCAAACAATTCACCATCAATGATTTGATTTCCTTTCTGTTTGTAAAAATTACAGGCATTCGACGGACCGTGAAGTTGCACTCATGATGATCATGGCTTATTTGTCATATATGTTGGCCGAGGTACGAATACGAGAATCTCTTCTTTGTTCAATTTCTTCTTCTTCTTCCCTCTTACCATGATGATCTTTGAAGATCATGAGTTTTCAGTGGATTTCTTAAAGGTTAATGAACTTGTTTTTTCTTGCAGCTACTGGATCTCAGTGGGATTTTAACAGTTTTCTTCTGTGGCATTGTCATGTCACACTACACATGGCATAATGTTACCGAAAGCTCGAGGACGACAACAAAGTAAGAACATTCTCTTCCTTTCTTTCCTGACTTTTGAAGATTCATCTTCAAGCACAACCGCCATCAAACGTATGGCATGTTTTAATCCTCATTCTTTGTACCGGTCGATCATTTCAGGCATGCGTTTGCGACAATGTCATTCATTGCAGAAACATTTATATACCTATATGTTGGCATGGATACCTTGGACATTGACAAATGGAAAGCCAGCAGTGCAAGGTGTTTTCTCCTTTCTGATGCGTCGTTCGAGCAAGCAGCTGGAATACCTTGTGATTCTAACTTGGATTTCTGGATTCAGTGCAGGAACCTTTGTTGCAGTCAGCTCAACACTTTTCGCTCTGGTGTTAGTTGGAAGGGCAGCATTTGTGTACCCACTAGCAAACTTCATCAACTGTACTAAAAAACAGGGCAGTTCGAATATCGAGTTTCGACAGCAGGTGATAACAGCAACCATCCATGAATTTAACTATTGTCAAATGGTTCTAATCCGATTTTTTTCCCTAAATCGTTGAATTCTCAGTTTATAATGTGGTGGGCAGGCCTCATGAGAGGTGCTGTCACTATTGCGCTGTCTTATAACCAGGTAAATCATATTCCTAGTTTTGGTTTAACAACGTAATTTTCTTGTCTCTTTGTTGATATCAAGATCAAGAAAACTTGAATACAGTTTTCGGATTCCGAGGATAAAGATACCAAAGATTCTGCATTGATGATCACTTGTACCATGATTGTGGTCCTGTTTAGCACAGTGGTAAGCTTATTAGTTCATAACTCCACGATCTTATTTCTGCAACTCGTTTAACCAGTCATGTCGGGAACGTTGATATTATAATGTTTCTATGGAACAGGTGTTCGGTTCGATAACAAAGCCATTAATCGAAGCGGTAGTGCTATTAAGACATGCGAAACCAGATGTTTTAGATGCTACTGATATACCCAGCCTTGAAGACTTGAGAATTCTGTTGATTGAAAATAGTGAACCAAGTGACATGGGAGAGAACCAACCGGCTGCAGCAACCCGTAGAAGTAGTTTAAGTTTGCTACTGACTCACCCAACTTGGACAGTTCATCACTTGTGGAGGAAATTCGACGACAGATTCATGAGACCGGTTTTCGGTGGAAGGGGGTTTGTTCCATTTGTGCCTGGTTCACCCACTGGTGCAGCTGATGGAAATTCAAGAGCCTGAAGAACCATGTCTACCTACGTCGCTTCGACTCTGTATTTTTCTTGAAGTACTAGTGTCCGCCTGTCCGGTGCAAATCCTTTCATGGGCATGAAGACATGACCATTTGGAGATCATCCAAAAACAAGATAAAACTAAGCATACCCATTTCGGATACATACCCATATGATATGTGATATCCATATTGGATACTCACATCCGAATCCGAGTAGCATAGATCTACATGCATTAATATTTTCGATGATGTTTTCGAATTTACCTTCTGAAAATCCTGTTAGCCTCTGATGCTTTGTATTGAAGCAATAGCCAATATAGGTGTCATAGACAAAGGAAATCTATTAAGAAAAGTAAAGTATTACCCCCAAGTAATCTTTTCTTGCATCCAAAGTAAAGCATCAATGAAATGTGTTAAATATTCCCTCTGTTCTCATTGGCTGATAAAATTTATAAAATAACCAAATGCTCTTTTAGAACCAATTTCCAAGAAAATGGATCAAATCTTTCTTGGCCTTTGCCACAAGCTCTACAATTTCATCATGAAATATCTAGCAACATATGCCATGAAAAGAGTAACTTTAGGCCAAGGTTCTCATCATGATTCAACTCAGTTACCTTCTTCTGGGCCTGCATCGGCTATATCAAGCTCCATCACCGATCAAGCAGTGCTTCCCATGGCCGATGAAACTCCAGTTGAAGATGCAAGTTTGCAGGCCAAAGTAGAGCCAGGTCCAATATGTAATCATAGTGAAAGCGGCATTTCTTCTGCAACATCGAATGAGGAGAAAAATGAGGATGAAGCACCAGCAACGTCTGCAATTCGACCCGAAGCTAGACCTCCGAAGAAAATGGTTAGCATAAATGATAGGCACCAGCAACGTCTGCAATTCGACCCGAAGCTAGACCTCCGAAGAAAATGGTTAGCATAAATGATAGAGTGGAGGAGATGAGCGACAGTTTGGGATCTAGCTGAATTTACCTAGCTGATTTGTTCTTTGTATACTATTGGCTAAAGCCTAGGCAGATGGTTCATTAGCTGAAATCGATTCGAATGAATTATTGCAGCCTTGATTCTCCATGCCAAAAGCAAATAGGGAGAACTCAACACCGTTTTGATTTAGTCCTATATCATTAAACAAATCCATTTTAGTTGATAGATTTTTATTACAATTTCTTGTTAAATCAATGATGATCTTGCTAACATATAGCTGCTATGAAACATTTTTATAAAAAAAATGAAAACGAAAATACATTTGCTAAATCCATCTATATAAATGAACATTCCCATGGGGTATTATGAAATACAAGTTTTGCATTCAAAGAATTAGTATCTACACCTTTTTTATTAAATATCAATTACTTTCAACATCATCTTCGGAGTCTAATTCGTCGAAAAACGACTTAAGATACCAGGTACAATGATTATTCCAATCAGCCTTTTCGCCGGTGATTCGCCATTTTTGGTCTTGTATCATATCCGGGGAGAGTCCCCATTCCAGCATCTCTTCATCTGTATGATTAATAGCTAAGCTATAGTCTCCGCTCTGTCCCAACTCCATAACTCGACACTCACAATTCCCGGGATTATTTAAGCGCTCGAATTGCTCGACCGTCCATTTGAACCACTTCATTAGAAACACCCGTGATGTTAGACCGTGCGAGATTATTATGAGATTCAAGTCTTGACATGGATCTTTGTGAAGCCTATTCAAGTCTATGTCTCTCCAGAGAGATTCAAGAAAACCTGCAAATTTCAATGATTTTTTCTTCGATTTAGCATAAACCGACACAAATTACATATCAAAACCGATTAGTTCGACTCATTCTTTAAGATTAAAGAACGTATATCAAAGAAATCTATGCTCATTACATGGTCAAGGAAGCAATAAAACAGATGCTAATGTATTTTGTTTAACAGTCCCTTAATGTTTATTCTCTTTCACCATTATCGAAATAGAATCCAATTTTCCTTCAGAAAGTTCATATCTTTCAAAGTTGCAAAGCAAGTCATTACACTTTCAACAAGAATACAGATTGATTTCAACAGTCCTCTTTAATTTTTGTTCTTTCATATTGCTTTCAAAATCAATGAAGAAACTTTCCAAGTCATTATCTTCTTAGAAAACTACTTTAAATCAACACCAAGTATTTAACATTTCAGCAATAACTTCATAAATGTTCATGCACCCAGTTCACAAACCACCATTTCTTCATAGAAACTCAATACCCTAAGCAAAATTTACATACAAACTAATGCAAACTTTGTATATGATAAAACTCCACAATGAAGAACAACTTACTTGAAACACGATCAAAAACATCAGCGGCAGATTCACCTTCAGGGAACCTATAAAAGAACCTCCCGAACTTTTCCCTCGTCTCCTTTATTACTTTCATCCTTTCCTCAACCTGAAAATTCCCAAAGTCCTGTTCTCGAATCCTGCACTCTTCCCTCACCCCAATCACCCTTTTCTTCGAAAACGACTTCCCGATCTCCCGCAGTGTGGATCGGGTGCGCTCGTAAGGGGAAACGTAGAAGTACACCCGCCAATCGGGGCGAGACCCATCACCGGAAATGAGGTCCTGGAGGTGCGAACCGGCAAGGCTGGCTTGGGCACGACCTTCTTCGGTTAAGGAGATCTTGTAGTCGGGGGTTTTCGAGTAGGCTGAGGTGTCTAAGTTGCCTTCCGACTCACCGTGTCGGACTAGGATTATCCGCTTCGGTAACACCACCTTCTTGGCGGATTGGTGGCTGCTGTGATTACTCTTTTGCATTCTTGACGGGGGAAAAAAATGGGTTTTTTGGGATGTAAATCTCGAATTTCTGCACTTTGAAAGCTTTGATTTGTTAATCGTATTTATAAGGCTGAGCTCGGCTGCTTGTTGCATTGAAGTCTAAAGATAAAGATGTATGGGAAAGATTCCATTTATATTTGTGGTTTAACTATTTATTTATTTATGTTCAAATTATTTTCTATTTTTCTTAAAATTTGCTTTACGATATAATTAAATATCTGATTATATTTTGTTACTAATAATTTCGTTCTTTTAGATTGATTTAAATTTTCTTTTAAATTGTTTAATTGAATTCATAGAACTGTTTATTTTAATTAATTAACAAGTTTTTATTATGTCGCTTTTATTAAAATTATTTAAAATTAAAATAAAGGTTTATAATTAAATTTAAATTAAGCAAATAATTAAGACGTTTTCTACCATTATTGACATAAAAAACTAGTAGTGAACCACAATATGGATATAATTACATTGGTAAATGAACCACAATAAAAAGATGAAATTATTTAAATATCACTGTCAATAACAAATCATAATTGAGCGTCGTGAGGAAATTATCTCTGAATGTAAATCGTATATTCAAATCTAATATAAGAGTACAAAATATAAAATATCAATATGATAATAAATAAAAGTCATGTTGATCAGTTGAGGCGTCGTCAAATTCAACTATGAGAAAATTAAACAAAGATAATAAAAAAAAAACAACTAATAAAAAGATCGAAGCTATGCCAAAAGACAGAAAAAATATGTCATAAAGGTAGATTTATTAAAAATTAAAAAATAAGAAAAAAAAAATAAAGATGCGATATAAAAAATAAAAGAAAATTTATAACTGTTAACGGTTGACGATCGACACTAATATTGATGGACCAATAAAGATGAAAGAGAAAAGAAAACGAGTATTTTTTAATAGGGAGGAGTTGCAAATTTCATAATTTAGTATTAGTCTTAATGTAAAAAAACGTGTTCAAATTATACTTAAAGTCAACTTTAAGTACTTAAAGAATTTTTCACTAAAAATAATTACTTAAAGTTTTGAACGCTATACTTTTAGATGTCTAGACCGTTAATACTATTAAATTCGACCATTAAGTAATATGTGTCAGACATATAAAATTTCAAAAATTTTATAAATAAGTTTTTTAAATTTTTTATAAGTTTGACACATATCACTTAACGGGTAAATTTAACGACAAACGCTTAAAATTATAATGTCAGAAACGTTATACATATATTTTTAACGAAAAATTCTTTAAATATCTAAAATTAATTTTATATTTAATTTGAACACTTATTTATACATTAAACCTCGGTATTATGATCCGGATGCGTTGTAAACCGAATGTAACGCCATGTGCACCCATATGTAGTTAAAGCACAAATGATTGGTACGTGAATGTAGATGTTTTGGCATCTACAAGGAAGGATATTTAATTTTTTTTAATGAAAACGTGTAAGGTTGGCAGCTTGGTTTGAACAGCTAATTGGTCATTAAACATCTTCAAGATATGGAATGGAAATTCAGAAATGACAGTGCCACTTTCATGTTTTTATTATTTTAATTATGGGATGGAATAGTAATAGAAGATGGCCACAAGTAGATGTCTACATATTCCACTTGCTTTCGTGTAGGGATAAAGCTTTAGTTTGTCAAACCTCTTGTCTGTATTCGATTAACATATTAAAGCGGCCACAGGGTTCATACTTCCGACGACTACCGGTGCCTCTCTTTGTGTGCGGCGCCAATTCTCACACAGTTTCATTATATCGTTGCTTCAACAATGGTTCGTATTTCTATTTTCTAGCTTTTATATTTGTTAGAATTTATAAGCGAGAAAATAATTTAAACGATATTAATATAAAATAAGATATACATTTGAGATAATATTTGTAACACCCCAGACCGATGCGGGTAGCCCGATCCGATTCGGGAAGTCACATTAGGGCCACCGGAGCGACCCACCGTAAAAATAGCGGAAATTTTAAAACTTTTTATCAGAACATGTAAACTTATAAATCATTATCACTATTTAAAAATAAAACAGATTTCCAAACTCGTATATAAATCAAATACAATTTCATGCCTAATCACAAGTACCATACTCTGCAACCACGCCGGAAGAACTCCCTTACTGAAGTCGATAGATGCACTGGTACAATTGTTTTAACCTGAAAAGGTGAGTAATAGAGTGAGCTTTGGAAAGCTCAGTAATACAGAACTACCAGATGATGCTACATGACATGTAGATAAATGGAAAGCCATATAATTTCCTTATTGAATCATATGTATACCAGCTTGCAGAATAATTGGGGTTCCCTTAGAAGTTCATCGAGTAGAAGCCATGAATCTCAGTTCATAAGAAACCTTTCAAAGTATGACATTTTCAGGAGATCGAATAGGATGTCTAGTGTGTTCCAACAGTATAATAAAATCATAATAGGTACAAATCATAGTCCAGTAAATCTCACAATTTCGTAAAAGAGTTTAACTTTGAAAATCATAGTTTAAACCCTTTTCTGGTACACCATCAGTAGTTCCCAAATATTTTCCATATAGCTTACTTTATGCACATAGCAAAAAGAAAGCCGACTTAAGAATAGGCTATGAAGCTTGTATCCTTAAGCCCAAGTCAATAAGTCCATATAGCTTACCCTAAGCACACAGCAAAGGAAAGCCGACCTAATGAAACATCTTGGGGCCCTCAAGAGTCACATTAGGCCCAGTTAGCTTGATCAGAGCTATTCCATCGTAATTCAATTCCAAAATTCAATTGCACCGTGACACAAATTCCATAAATCCAAAAACATGGTAATCATATACCAGTTCAAAACAAAAATTAGATAGCATCCATATTCCATAAATTGTCACATTAAATTGGTGCATCAATAAAACAATAACCAATGAATTCGGTGTACCACATATTAAAACCAATAAAACAGTTCAGTAATAAGTAGGGAACACTAGAGAATCCCAGTATTTCCAGAGGCCATTGTAGTTATCATTTTGGATAACATGAAACTTATGAAATTTGATCGAATTCCTGGAACAAGGTTCTATTGAGGGGAATCGATTACTAACCGATCTAGCCATTTAATGTTGATACATTAGAATCCCACTATTTTCGTGTGCTTTAGGAAAACGTTCAGGAACCTTTATACATAATAATTCTAAATTCAGATTTACTGCGAGTGATTCCATTACCCAAACAATCAGGGGTATTCATGAATATACTTTAAATTCATAGGATTTCAGCCCAATTGAACCAAATGGGATATTCAGAATCTTTTCCATCTGCGTTACTTTTTTTTTTTTTTTCAAACATGACCGAAGTGATTTTAGATGAAATATAGAATCGAAGATTCAAGTCATTTACAATCTACGACTATCGATCATATTATCAAACAACTCGAGTTACACAACTCTCAAACTGATGCATGTCAACAAGTCAATTCATTATCCTTCCAGTGTATTCACTCTTTAATACCATAGTGCAGATCCATAGATCATCCCCATAATCATCACTGAATAAATCTTCCAACGGTCTTTATTTCATTTCCACGTTTCAACAATATCAGGAAATACTGACGTACTTGATCCATGGCTCATAACCCATAATGACAATTCATGTAAGTTCAACAGTGTTTCCAAACTCATAAAATCACCTATTTAATCCTTAGTCATTGATGTTACTTAGTTCGTTTGGTAAGCAAGTCTATCCCGATTACTTTAAAGTTTTCCAGAATAATTCAGACGTTTCTGAATTTCAAATACACGTTGTACTTCATTTCATTTCAACTTAATTAATAAAGTCATTCTGGTATTCGTGGTTGATTTGACTAACGACTACCCACTATTAATACTGTATGCGCTCTAGAGTTGAGCTGCGCCAAGTACTTCCAGAATTATCATCGATCCAAATTTGAGAAGATGAACAAACATTCAAGTGATACTTATATCATTCAGGTAATGATATAGTACTAACGTTGGTTAATCACTTAAGTTGCGTTCCATAACTTTTACTGGTAGCACAACATCCATGTTTATTTGGATTTCTTAATTAATCCAAGACATTTACTTATTCTAGGTCATAAGGGCATTTTGGTCATTTTGGTGCTTAACATTTTTTTTTCTATTCATTTCAAAGCTTGAGTATATCCATTCATTCCTGAGCTTGGTGACATTCTTGAGTCATTTCCATTCCAGGGGTAATTTGGTCATTTATAATTCTAGAATATTTCAATCATTTCCTTCCATCCGGTCTTATTATTTAATTCAATCTTATCATTTACTTCAGTCCTTTCGAACAATTCTGTCAGCAGAATACCTCCGATAAATTACTCTTCAAGTATTTACTCCTTATTCGAATATTTTCGAGTCAAGTGTCTTCTCAGATTTTACAAACGGAATATTATAAATTTTTCTGTACAAAGACAGGATCTTAACAATTAAATTCGTACTTAATCGAGTTAAGTACAAATCCTCAAAGTACTTTATCATTCAGGGTCAAATCAGACTATTTTATCTCTCAAGGCATTTTCGTAATTTCTTAACCAGATAATTTATGTCTTTTCAGAGTTATTAACCAACTTCCAGGGCAATTCTTATCATTTTCCAACATAAGGGTAATTCGTAATTTTACCATATCGGAGTATCTCATAATTTTTCATCCAAGTATCTTTAACATTTAACCCTTGATGATATAAAATATAAGTTACAAATCCAGAGCTGATTTCTTTATCACCAATCACAAACTTGTAATTTAATTCTAACAATTATCAATCTCTTATCTTAGTCATTCGATCCGTATTCAGTTACAGAATTTCTACCATTCATCGAGTGAATAAATTATTCAACTCCACAAAGTGACCAACATTATCTTATTCATGCATTTACCAATATCAACATGTTCCATAAAGCATAAAGAGGTAGTAAAGTATTACCTCGATTTCCGTGCAATACTGATCGACCATAAAAATTCCATTCGAACACCTTTGATCTTCAATTCAACTTCCAATGTTTCCTCGGATCCATATAAACAGAAATTATATCAGAAAAGGAGCTTAATTACGATAAGCGGATCGATCGGGTGATAAATCAGTGAAAGACGGCTTACCGGGTTCGAATTTGGCGAAACGGACTTCGGATTCGGATTCAGGACGTCGAAAGCATAAAATATGACTTTTCGGAAATTTGGAATTTTCGGTCAAAATCAAAGTCAACGGTTTGACCGGAAATTTCGAGGCCTTCGGGTTCGAATTTCGAAAAAACGGACAGCGGAATCAGATTTGGAACGTCGAAAAATGTCAGGATAGGTATACTCGGTCGAAGTCAAAGGTCGTTTAATGCCTGATCAAAGCCGGTCAAAGTTTTGGTCAACATTGGTCAACGTCGGTCAACGGTCAACGGGTCAACGGGTCGGGTCAACAGGTCGGGTCGGGTCAACTGGTCGGGTCGGGTAAATGGGTCGGGTCGGGTAAACGGGTCGGGTCGGGTTGTGACGGTCAAACCGGTCAACTATCCACTAAAACCGGTCAAACCGGTCACTTTTGTCTTCCCCACGCGCAGTGGCGGCGCGTGGGGCGTGAACAGTGCAAAAAATCTCGGAAAAATTTCTAAAAATTATTTTGAGCGATTTCGAGATACTTACAAAGCTCGGTTCACAATTTTGAACGGCGGAGAGCTCGATTTCAACGAATCGGAAACTTTGACCGCTTCACCTCCCGCGCCGCCGTCGACGGAGACCAAGGATGACACCGACAAACTCGGAACGATGCAACGAACACGATGGTGCGGGAGGTGTCGTAAACGGATGACCCGATTGTCGTGAATCGATGAAAAACCAACTAAAACCGAGTTATTACCGACGATACTTCCGACTGAAATTCACGACGAACGGCGATGATTCACGACGAAAGGTTTGAGGGGTTTTGTTCCTCGATTGACAACGAACACGATGGTGGTTTCGGCTCGTCGTTTGGAGGTCGGACGGCGAGTAGATCGGAGTTGGAACTTGGGTCAACGGAAGAGAAAAACTGGAAAATTATACATTCTGCAGCACGGGGAGGGGGTTATAAATTCTCTCATAAAGGAAATTGGCTAAACCAAAAGTTTAGTCACTGAACTTCCTACACTTCTTAAAACGGTCTGCTAACTTTGAAATCTTACAATTTAATCTCCGATTCCTTCCAAAAATACCAATTAAATCCACCACTTTATAATTTCTTAAATTTAGCCCCTAAATTGGGGTGTTACAATATTTAATGTGATTTAGTAGAGCACAATGTTCTTAACCTTGAGGTCGTGGGATCTGTCGCAACCGTCTTTCGGTTGGACCCGGAATTGGGCTTCGACTTGAAATAATTGAGTTAGAGTCGCCACCGATCATTTTAAAATGATATTTAGGTAGATCGGACACCATCTTACCTGATCTGCGTTTTACCAGAAATGTGTCGGGCTCGGGAGTCGGTTACGGTCAAGGAAGGATTAGCACCCTTGCACCGCCCTTTCGGTACCAATTAATTTAACGACTTTCTTAGTTGCGAAAAATTGAAATTTAAATTAAAATTTGAAATTCATTTCGAATTAATTACCTTTGATCGATTAAAAAAATTCCCCTAAAAAGTCAAAAAATATTAGATAAGAAATAATAAATAAATACTAAATAAATCAAAGAAAAAAATATTTTAAAAGTAATAAAATGAACGGAAAAAAAACCTGTGAAAATAGAATAATAATTAAATAAAAATATTAGATCAAATCATAAAAATAAATTAGGGGTTAGATTGAATTCAGAGTAAAGTTTATAGACTGAAAGTTAAAATCTATAAAAGTTGAAATCTATAAAAGTTGAAATCTATAAACATTAGTGGCTTTGGGTGTAGTTTACCCAGGAAAATCCACAAAACCCAAATCTGCATCCCCATTCATTTTACGTGAGTGCTTCTGCCTTCTCCTTTCCTCAGTGTGAGTTGCACGAGACATGAACAACAGGTGGTCCCAGATCCGGCAAGCAAGCCATCCCCATCATCAGCGTAGGTGATCGATTCTCCCGAGCACTCTGCGTACGAGCCCCTCGAAACAATGGTTCCTTACCTCCACGCATGTAGCAAATTCGGATCCTCTGAAACCTCTGGCCATCACGATGGGGATCTCTTCGAACCCTTACCATGGTTGTTGAGGTCTCATCGTTGGGAGAAGAGAATGGAGTGGTCGCTTTGGGGTCGATGAGGTTTGGGAGATAAAAGGTCGAGGGAAGCCCGAGGAGTTGGAAGAGAGAAGGAGACATCGTTGGTGAGGGTACCCGTGAAAGCACTGATGGTAGCGCCCTGAGCGGCGCTAGTGGTGGTAACCACGGCAGCCTCGACGGGTAAGGAAACTGTCTGCAACTGTCTAAGTGGGTTTTGTCGTGGCATCACCACCATTCCTTGCTCCCGTTTTTTTTTTCCACCTCCATTCTTGTCCATTTATAGCGAAGAAAACATATTTCCGTGCGATTTTAGAACTCTAATGGGATTGAATGACTTGTTGGTTGTTGTTGGATTGTTGGTCTCGTGAGCTCTCCTTGCGCCGGAAGGTTCGGGGTTGGTGGCGTGAAAAGCGAGGTTGGCTGGGATAGAGAACATACAGCGAAAATTTAGTGTCTACAACTGCCCCTCTTTGTCCTTTTTCGTGGAACGAAAAATAGGGCAAAGATAAAAGGACACAAATTTTCGTTCGGTGGAGTTGAAGAATAACTCCCTGTCGAATTGAGTTGCGGATAACTCTTCCGTCGTGAAGTTGAAACTGTGGATGGCCCCTCCGTCGTGGAATTCAGCCTTGAATTGGATATCCTTCGTTGTGAAGTTGAAATCCAATGAAAGTTGTGTTGTTTCGAGTCCAATATCCTTCGTCGTGAAGTTGAAATCGGATCTGAAACCGAAAAGTTTATTGACAGACACTCATTCTTTGAAGTTGGATATCCTTCGTCATGAAGTTAAAATCCAATCTAGAGATGGATGATGCTTGTGTGCATGATTCCCTTCGTCATGAAGTTGAAATCGCGGGTGGCCCCTTCGTCATAAAGTTGAGCCTGGAATTGGATATCCTTCGTCGTGAAGTTGAAATCCAAGTAAGTTGTATTGTTCCGAGTCTAATATCCTCCGCTGTGAAGTTGAAATTGGTTCTGGAACTGGGAAATTGTTTGTTGACAGTCAGCCGCCCCTTCGCTGTGAAATTGAGCTTGTGCTGTCTCGAGTCTAATATCCTTCGTTGTGAAGTTAAAATTGACTCTGAATGAATTTGACAATCAGCCGCCCCTTTGTCGTGAAGTTGATCTTGTGTTGTCTTGGGTCCAATATCCTTCGCTGAGAAGTTGAAATTGGCTCTGAAATTGGGAAGTTGTTTATTGACAACCAGCGGTTCCTTCGTCGTGAAGTTGAACTTGCGTTGTCTTGAGTCCAATAGCCTTCGTTGTGAAGTTGAAATTGGCTCTGAAATTGGGAAATTGTTTATTGACAACCAGCGGTCCCTTCGTCGTGAAGTTGAAATTGGCTCCGAGATTAGGAAGTTGTTTTTTTGACAACCAGCGGTCCCTTCGTCGTGAAGTTGAACTTGCGTTGTCTTGAGTCCAATATCTTTCGCTGTGAAGTTGAAATTGGCTCTGAAATTGGGAAATTGTTTATTGACAACCAGCGGTCCCTTCGTCGTGAAGTTGAACTTGCGTTGTCTGGAGTCCAATATCCTTCGTTGTGAAGTTGAAATTGGCTCTGAAATTGAGAAGTTATTTGTTGACAACCATCGGTCCCTTCGTCATGAAGTTGAACTTGCGTTGTCTGGAGTCCGATATCCTTCGTTGTGAAGTTGAAATTGGCTCTGAAATTGGGAAATTATTTATTGACAACCAGCGGTCCCTTCGTCGTGAAGTTGAACTTGCGTTGTCTGGAGTCCAATATCCTTCGTTGTGAAGTTGAAATTGGCTCTGAAATTGAGAAGTTGTTTGTTGACAACCAGCGGTCCCTTCGTCGTGAAGTTGAACTTGCGTTGTCTGGAGTCCAATATCCTTCGCTGTGAAGTTGAAATTGGCTCTGAAATTGGGAAATTTTTTATTGACAACCAGCGGTCCCTTCGTCGTGAAGTTGAACTTACGTTGTCTGGAGTCCAATATCTTTCGCTGTGAAGTTGAAATTGGCTCTGAAATTGAGAAGTTGTTTATTGACAACCAGCGGTCCCTTCGTCGTGAAGTTGAACTTACGTTGTCTGGAGTCCAATATCTTTCGCTGTGAAGTTGAAATTGGCTCTGAAATTGAGAAGTTGTTTGTTGACGACCAACGGTCCCTTCGTCGTGAAGTTGAACTTGCGTTGTCTGGAGTCCAATACCCTTCGCTGTGAAGTTGAAATTGGCTATGAAATTGGTAAATTGTTTATTGACAACCAGCGGTCCCTTCGTCGTGAAGTTGAACTTACGTTGTCTGGAGTCCAATATCTTTCGCTGTGAAGTTGAAATTGGCTCTGAAATTGAGAAGTTGTTTATTGACGACCAGCGGTCCCTTCGTCGTGAAGTTGAACTTGCGTTGTCTGGAGTCCA